ACTATATATATATATATATATATATATATATATATATATATATATATATATATATATACAAACTATATATATATAATTAACTGTTCCTTGCTACAGCACACAAAAAGTAGTTCTCTTCTCTTTGTTCCTTCAGTTGTTTTTATATTTTCATTATTTCAAAAATGCACAAAGATACCAGCACCGTTATGCGTCTCTAAAACGTGTGCTCTATGAGTCAGAAGCTGTTTAAGGACAAAAGAATGGCAGAGAAATTAGGAGAGACTAGAAGTGCATCCAAAATATTTCACTCTTTCTTCTCCTCCGTTTGCAGGACTGCAGATCAAATCATGATGTTAGCAAACAATTCCACCTCAGCTGCCACAGTCAGCGCTGAGCAACGCTACTGTGTGGACAATGAAACCTTACGGGTCCCGCTCGCCGTGCTCTACTCTGTAATCTTCACCCTGGGACTTGTTGGGAACCTGCTGGCCCTCTGGGTTTTCTTCTGCGTTCACTCCAAGAAGAACTCTGTGCGAGTGTTCCTCATAAACCTGGCCTTCGCAGACCTGCTGCTGGTGGTTTGCCTGCCCTTCAGAATTCACTACCACAGTGTAGGGAACACATGGACCCTGGACCCGCTGCTGTGTAAGGCAGTGGGCCACCTCTTCTACATGAACATGTACATCAGCATCACCCTGCTGGGCCTGATCAGCATCGATCGCTACATGAAGATCTACGGCTGCAGAGAGATGCAGTGCAAGCTGAGGTCCACAACGTGGAGCATCGTTCTTTGCACTTTAATTTGGATCGTGGCCTTTGCTCTTCTTGTACCATTCATCGTCTCAAAAAATTCCTCACGGCAAAACATGTAAGGAAAATAATATCCAGCAAATTCATAGCTGAAAGGCAGGCGAGAAAGTTTCTGCCGGTCTCTGTTTGTCTCTGTGTTTGCTTGTCTTTTTGCAAAATATCAAGACCCACGAGAAGGATTATATAAAACTTTTGAAAAGTAATTATTACAAGTATCACTGTCAAGACCGAGGCCTCTGGGTTATTTAGACCCAAGGGCAGCAGGAGGGCTAATTACCATTTAGAGTTAATTCAGCTTAAGATGGCCACCACAGCTAATTGACATCAGCTAATACAGAAATGTTTATAACTCAGTCAAATGTTCAGACACTGAGCTAAAAACTAACGGACTAGCTAAGAGCCAAAGCAGCTACAACAATTTCATTTTTCAACATAACATGATCTAACTCTAGCTTTCAGGTATGAAAGGCGAAGGGCAATATGCTCTCTCTTCAAAATAAATAAATAAATAAAATAGAAGAAGGAGTTAGTCCTTCATTTTGTTTAAACCCCCCCCCCCCAAAAGAGTTAAATCAACTGTATTTTCCACCGTACACGTTGCACCACCCTATAAGTCGCATCAGTCCAAATATGTTTAATAAAGTGAAAAATCCATAAATATGTCGCTTTGCCGTATACGTTGCATCTATTATGTGTCATCGCTGACGCATCACGTTTGTTATGCGTCACCGCAGACAGCCCAGAAATGTGGGCCGGTGTTGTGCCAAAAAATCAATTGGCTGCCAAATGGCGGCCGTGGGAACGTGCACGATAGGACTTTAACAAGAATTTAACAAGATTAACACTTAAAAACAATTATTTGTTTGCTCGAAAATTATAATAAAGATGTGTCTCAGTTGAAGTTTTCCTTAATAAATGCACTTTGATGGTCAAATCAGTTGCATTTCAAAAGCCGATAGGCAGAAGTAAGCGCGTGCACTGCAGGACTCACTGTGCATTTCTTTGAAATGTAACAAGATAAGCACCTAAAACAATTACTTGTTTGCTCAACTTTATAGCAAAGATGTGTCTCAGTTTAACTTTTACTTAATAAATGCATTTTAATAGTTAAATTAGCTGCATTTCACCAGGGCGGTGCAGCAAAATGAAACTGATTCGACAGTTGCTCCAGGCGAGCTGGATGAAGGTAGCAGACTATGGCATGCCGATTGTGTCATTAATAGGCCACTTTTTACCTATGACATGACACAACGGCATGCCATACTACTCAAGTGCCATCTAGTAGCTGAAAATGGTAGTGTTCAATATTTTCAGTCAGAATGAATGAAAACGGTCATATCTCAGCCAAAAATTAGTTTATAAATATGGAAAAAAAATCATAAATATGTCAATTTGACCTATAAGTTGCAGGGCATGTAAATTATGCAAAAAACTGCAACTTATAGGCCAAAAAATATGGTAATCTGAAAGTCTTTTTTTTTTTTTTAGGTGTTTCCACTACAGAACAATTAGCCAGCTGTGGAAAGCCTACATCAACATCGCACTGCTTGTTATCTTCTGGCTGGTGTTCATCTCTCTCATGATGTTTTACGGAAAGATTGCCCAGAAACTCCTGAAGAGGTCACACGAGAAACCAGATCTTCCCACGGCACACCACTACAACCGAACCGCCAAGAAGTCTTTCTTTATCCTCTTCCTCTTCATCGTCTGTTTTGTCCCGTATCACATAGTCCGGGGCTTCTACATCCAAACCCAGATCACGAGCACATCCTGTTACTGGCAGAACGTGGTGGACAAAGCCAACGAGATCGCCCTGGTGTTTTCTGCACTGAACAGCTGCCTGGATCCCGTCATGTTCTTCCTGTTGTCCTCCGCCGTGAGGAAGGAGGTGAGGCGCTTCATGAGCGGCACGTTTCGCACAAAGGATGTTGCCAGAGTCAGCGGGACTAGCTCCATGTCGGATACAGATGGAAGGAACAACAACGGCCAGTTAAATGTTAATACAATAAGCAACTTACTAATAACAGACGCTTTGTAGTACAGAACTGATGAGCTTGTAGAGAAAGCAGCAGCAGGAACATGAACCTGAATCCTGCTGTCTTCAGCTCGTAGTGTTGACCTTCTTAATGTCAACGAACACTTTCAGCAGTTTTAGTATCACAAAAATACTTAAATGCAACATAAATATGTACATATATTATGGTGGGCGGCTGTGGCTGAGTGGTTAGAGCAGTCGTCCTCCAATGCAAGAGTTGGGGGTTCGAATCCACCAGCAGTCACATGTTGAAGTGTTCCTGGGCAAAACACTGAACCCCTCATAGCCTCTGATGTGTGTCCCATCAGTGTATGAATGTGATAAAGCTCTGATTAGTCTCTTTAGAATCATTTGTTCAATTATCTTTGTAGAGATCTAGTATAGAGCTGTATGAATGGGTACATGAGGCACAGATTGTAGCGTAAAGAACTTTGAGTATCTTGAAATAAGATAGAAAGGCGCTATATAAGTACAGTCCATTTACCATTTACTTTGTATGGCAGGAGTGGTGGCGCATCAGTTAGAGAAGGTGGGACCGTGAATGGAAGGTTGCCGGTTCAACTCCCTGGATTGACAACATCAATATGTGGGTGGGAAAGGTGGAACACCCACACCTGCCTCCACACTCATTTGTCCCACTCTGGGCCCTTGAGCAAAGCCCTTAATGCCACAATCTGCTCCCCCGGGAGCTAGATAGCAGCTCTCTGCTCCACACAGAGGGCTGTGGTAGCTCGGTGGTCTGTGGTTGTGTCATGAAGGGCATCCGGTGTAAAAACACTCACCAAGTCTTCCAGCGAGTTAGTTCACCGTGGGAGAAGGGAGCAACCGAAAGAAGAAAAATGTTACTTTGTATCCCCTGCCAGTGCTTGTGTGTCAATTTACTTCCCTTCAAATAACTGTCAGTTTTATTATGTCTTCCAGTATGAATTTAGAACAACGTTCACTCATAAACTGAGGAAAATGTCTGCAGCATCAGGTCTGTACAGGTCCCTCCTCAACTGGAAACACTCCAGGGTGGCACAGGAGCTCACAGGAGGAGAAATATGAAGTAAAATGTAATAAGAAACACTCTGTTTTAATAGAAATGACGGTGAAGGCCACAAACATCTTTACTGCTGTCATTCTCAGCTAAATGCGTCAATCTGGCAGAAATATAATTTTATCGTTGTAATCTCCATTGGTGGTGTTTAAATGTGTTTCTGCTTGTGTTGATCAGGTTTTCTGTGTGACAAATCCAGTGGGCTCTGTCAATGTGAATTAAATCATATTAAACTTCAAACTGAGAGAGTTTTTAGATGCAATGCATGTTTTTTTAAATCTCCTACCCTTTAATGTAATTTCAAAAACAAGATATCTCCTCCTCCTTTGATTTAAAGCAACTTTTATAAATTGTATTTTTATGTCTTAATGGGTCCACATTTTCCCTGGTGCATGTTGTGAGTAAATAAAAGTTTGTACAACAAGTGGGGATTCAGCCGGCCCCTTTAAGCTATTTTCCTTTATGAAAATGGAAAAGAACCGCTCTTACCATTCCATCCACCATCAGTTCTCTCTGACTAACAGGTAAGTAGAAAATCTACTCTTGGACTGAACAGTCTGTGTGAAACACATCCAGCCAAAAATTCAATTCAATTCAATTCAAAAATACTTTATTAATCCCAGAGGGAAATTAAATGTTGTTGTAACTCATCATTCTGGTTTCATTAAAGAGTTGTTATAGATGCACAACAATAGTCCCAACAAGATCAAAATATTTGATCCAACTGCAACTTCTTTAGGACCCAAAAATAAAATTAATTAAAATGAACTCGAGAATGTGCGTTTCCTGTGACATGTGTGAATGCTGGTTGCAGATAAACTTACTGAAGAACTGCTGAAATGGATGAACAATCCTAACTGAGCAGAAGAAAGCAGAAGGAACACATATTTGCTGAAATATGTTTAAATAAGCAGAAATGAGCATGAAAATTAGAAACATTTACTTAAACAACCTGGAATTAGCAGAAATAGATGAAAGTAGGTGAAAAAAATAGAAGGAAGCTTAAACTACCAGAAGGAAACAGAAAGAGCTGAAATGAACTCCAAAATGTGGAATTAGCTGAAAGAGCCAAATTTTGCATAAAAGCAGCTAACTAGCTGAAATAGCAGAAAAAGCTAAAACTAGCAGAAATAAGCTGAAAGTAGCACAAAGCAGCTGAACAAACAGCTGAAAGACACTGAAATAAGTTTAAATTTGCAGAAGGAAGCTGAAAGAAGCTGAAGCAGAACAAAATGTGAAAGGAGCAGTAAAAGACTGTAAACAGATCTAAAGACTTGAAGGATGTAAAATGAGCTCAATTCATTTTCTATGAGCAAAAAATGTCAAAAAAGGCTAAATGGTTCAAAAAGCCACAGTTGCACCAATACCAAAAGCCATAGCAGGATTGTCCTGAAATAGCTGAATGTTTTGATTTATGATTTGTTGAAATAGTTGAGAACTGCAGGACGAGAATCGTGTCGAAAGACGTACAGAAGAAACATGGATCACAACAGAACGAGTGCTTCATGAACATTCACACAATGAGCTCAGCCTTTAGTCCAACTGCCCTCAAATGGCTGAATTAATTAATGATGATTTAAATAAAAATAAATAAGAGGCTGCAGCTGCAGGACCTTTAGGAGCATGTCTTTCCCTTTGACTCGGGTCTAACTGTAAAAACGGAGCAATCCCAACGTGACGCTTGCGTCATGGCTACCAGACTCTACATGATGCTGCAGAGCTCAGCAGTGGACTGGTCTGCAGAAAGATCAACAACAGAGACTTTTCTTTCTTTCTGTGTCTCATTCATCTTTTGAAATGCAAACATACCTAAAAGAGCAGAAAGACATGTTCTAAGTTAAGGATTTTGTAGGGTATTTTAGAAAACTCAGATTTTAAAAATGGAAACGTTGTTGAACAACTGCAGTTTGGAAAAAAAAAAAGAGTTAAATTGTGATGAGCTAATTGCTAATCCAAGCATGGCCAAGACCAAAGGGGGAAAAACCCCATCTCAAGCGGTCCAGGCAAACAGTTTTATAACAAATGTTAACTGAACAAATAAATATATTATTTAAAAATAACTTTAAAAATATTTGCAAGCACTAATAGCAGCAGCAACTAACTATTATTTTCCAGCATAGATTGGGGAACTTTTTGCAAGAAAACCTTATTTCTACCCAAATATTCGTGTAATGTGAAGCTGATGGCAGTATAAGGGCTTATAAAAAATAAAAAAAAAACGTGTTTGGATGAACCCCAATAAAAGTTTTGAGACTGAACTTATTTTAAGATCCACTTCGGTCTCGGTCCTACTTAGACTAGCTGTGAACTCATCAGTTCTGTCAGAATTTAACCATTTCTCTAAATTGAGGACCATCAAAGAGCTATCTACAGCAGGTAGGATACTAATTATCCACACCCTTTGCACATAACCTCCCGAAAAAATGTGAGCTTTTTTTCCACCAAGCGGAGTTAATGTGAACAAAGTGTTTAAAATGTAAATGGACCAATAATCTGTCATATTAGTACATGTGCACACAATCTGAAACAGAGCAAAGTGATTTAAAAACAATGGTTAGGTTTTCTGACAAATGACATTGTCACCCAATATTTGTTTTTGTTTGTTTAATAAAAAAAAAAGTTTTATAAGAAATTTTGTTGAGAGAAACTAAGTCCAGAATCCAACATTTTTCAGTCAGGTCATCTGGACAGTTTCTTTTTTTTTGTGCTGAAACGTTTCGCCTTCGATCCAGAAGGCTTCATCAGTCAAGGAAACACACAACAAAACGGATTCTTCCTCCAACAGCTTACTCCAAAGTGGAACAAACCAGTTCTGCTTGTGATAAGATGGTCTCTTTGGTACGCCCCCTCCTCCATTGCCGGCCCTCTTCCTTGTTGACAGTCTTGTCAAACTGGTTGAAAACAACAAAGTCCATGCTCAATAATCCAGGTATACAATCCAACATTTTTCTGAAAAATGTTGGATTGTATACCTGGATTATTGATCATGGACTTTGTTGTTTAAGTCCAGAATTGTGAAATGGTCAACAACAAACAGGATTTGGTTCAATTTTAATCTGTATGAACTGAACTTTGAAGCAGATCTAATAAGACAGGGCTATTCAATGACGGCCCGGGGGCCAAATCAGGCCCTCGGGTGAGCTCAGTTCAGCCCATCAATGGGTTCATATTTAAATAAAACTAGATTTTAAACCATAAAACAAACTTTATTAATGACACTAACTGCTGGATGTCCGGTCCCTGATCTCTTGGCTTACAGTAACTGTGGCCCCCTGAGCAGTTTAGTTGAATAGTCCTGTTATAAGGTTAATGTGTGAATTTATTATTAGTGTGGTGTGGTGTGGGCGATGGTGGATAAACTCTGACTAAATATGTTCTAGAATTGCGCCGCTTGTGGTGGCTGCATGTTGGAGCAGCTCTGTTAAATTCATTCTGAGTTATTGCTTTTGAAAACTTTAGTTCCTCTCTCTTCTGGATGGAAATAGCTTTGTTCAGAAGATTATTTACTCTGGTATCAGATGCTGTGCAACTGGAAGGATTTTTATTGAAACCTTTTTACTTTTGGGTATTTGTTATGATGCGTAACCATGGCAACAAGTTGTTTTTTTTAAACAAGCAAGAGCAGCTGATTGACATCGTAAAAGCTTAAATACCTCAACTACAACTCCAAATGAATTGAAAAGGAGGTGCCGTGGACAAATTCTGTCAACCTGTCAGCGGTGCTCGAGTGCCTGGCCTCTGAGATCCTGAAGCTAGTGGGAGGCTCGGCTCGTGACGGTGGGAAGACCGGAGTCATCTCCTGGCACCTTTGGTTGTCTGTCCATGTGACAAGGAGCTCGGCAGACTGCTGGGAGGAGCAACCATTGCTCAGGGAGGAATTCTGCCCGGCATTAGTGCAGTCCTGCTGTCCAGAAGGACCAAGGGGCCCGCTGGATCTGACAGCAATCTGGATCCAGGTGGACGGATCAGTATCTGTGGCCAGATTCT